TAATATACTTGGCTTGTGATATCCAGATCTTTCCAGCGGTCCTATCTCTCTGAATTTCCATGCCAAGGATCTTCTGTGATGCACCTAGATCCTTCATGTCGAACTCCTCGCTCAACATCTTCTTCAAGTCTTGAATTCTAGATTTGTCTTGACAAGCGATTAACATGTCATCCACATATAGCAATAGAAATATGATCATCCCATCTTGGAACACATGATAGTACACACAATAATCATATAAACATCTTCTAAAATTGATTTTCAGCATGAAGTAATCGAACCTCTTGTACCACTGTCTTGGAGACTGTTTCAGGCCATACAAGGACTTCCTTAGTTGACATACTAGGTTCTATTTCCCATATTCAACAAATCTTTCTGGTTGAGCCATGAAAATTGTCTTCTTTAGATCCCCATGAAGAAACGCAGTCTTCACATCCATCTGCTCAATCTCCATGTCATGCTGAGTTGCCATTGCTAAAAGCAATCTTATAGAAGTATGCTTGACTACAGGTAAAAAGATCTCATCATAATCCACCCCTTCCTTTTGTGAGTACCCTTTAGCCACGAGCCTTGCTTTGAATCTCACGGCATCTTGTTCATGTAGTCCTTCCTTTTTCCTAAATACCCACTTGCATCCAACTAGCTTTCTGTCTTTGGGCTTAGGAACCAACTCCCAAACAGAGTTCTTGTAAAGGGACTCCATTTCTTTTGTCATAGCACTTATCCAACTATCTCGCTCATCACTTGCTATAGCTTCTCGATAAGTAGTTGGATCTCCTTGACTAATGTTGATAGCATAATTAACTTCATCTTGGTCAAACCCAAACCTATCAGGTTTCTTCTTGTTCCGATTAGGTTTGTCCAGTGCTATGCATCTCTGGAATGCATGTGGATTATTGGTTGGAGTTCGAACCCTTTGGGATGTCTGGTGGATTAGAGTGCCTTCAAACTGCCCTATTTCTTGCTCCACCTGATTCCTAACTAGTGAATGATGTTGATGCTCTTCTTCTTCCTCGGAACCATTAGATTCGGCTTCTTGCTCAATTTGCTCCACCTGAGCTTCTTCTTCATCTGAACTGATTAACGGAATCTTTGTTGCTTCAATTTCAGCATCATCTTTCTTCTCTCTACTGCTCTCGACTTTATTCAGAGGCATGGTTGCCTCATCAAAGACAACATCTCGACTGACAACCTTTTTCCTATTGTTGATATCCCAAAGCTTGAAACCCTTCACTCCTTTCTCAAAACCTCAGAATATGCAATGTGTAGACTTTGGTTTGAGCTTGGACCTTTCATCACTTGGAATATGTGCGTAAGCACTGCAGCCAAACACCCTGAGCTTGGAATAGTCCACCAGCTTCTAAGAC